TTTTATTCTAGGTTTATGGGGATCCATGATTAATATGAAAGGGTATTTTATTATTGTTAGTTGTTAATGTTTAATTGATTTCCTATTGATTGATTTAATGCTATGCAATTAGATTAGCGCTGGTTTAATTGTATGAGTTATGCAATATTGATTCGAGATTTGAGAGATGAGAATTGATGTTTAGGCTTAGTGTCAATAGGCATGTTAATTTATAAATGGTTAGGTCGAGATTCGAGAGATGAGATTTAATACCGGTAAATTAACTCTGTGATTGTAATACGTAGCGAAAGCCCTTTATGATCTGGTTAATTGGTAGAGGAAATAATCGGTCGTTGGACAATCACCCTCAAGCCAAACAATATTTCTACCTAAACCAACCTAAGAAAAGTTTAGGGTAAGTAGAGGATCGTATCCACAGGGAATGGGTAAGTACACCGAGAGTATGAAACGATTGCAATCTAGTTCGGTCACAAATTGGGGGTTTTGATTAGGTAACTACTATGGAGACAAACACTAGGGGGAAATAGGGATCGACTCCAACCAAACCAACGGATCAAAACAATAGGCAAGCATGAACACAAATTGGGTGATAGAGAGGGCACTCAACATTGCCTTCTTTCGAAGCCACAACACTAAGCATTCCTAAACCAAACTCAACTAATAAGATAGGCCAACCTAGTCTTAACGATGAGAAGTAGACTACTAACTCGGGTTTGTCTTTCGATCGGTCCAAGAAAGCATTAAGGCACAAGCAATTGAGATTTCTCACCTAATTGTTGCAACTAACACTACTACATCATTCAAACAAGGGACCATAATCAAGAGGAATTTAGCATAATCATATAAGAAAAGGCTCACAACTAGACTCCATCTCTCAATGTAAGCATAGAAGTGAATACATGAGTAATAAGTGGCCATCCAATTACACATGCAATTAACCAATTCTTTAACAATCAATCATCAACCCAAAATGAACATGCAAGCACATACATCAATCAACCCATGGCTTGGTTGGGTCTTCACCCAACCCCTAGCTAATTAACTACTAACTAAACATGGTGAAGGACATCAAAATAACAAGTTCCAATTCAAACATTAAATTAACAAAGTTGAGAGGAGTAGTAAGAATAAGGTAGATTGGACATGCAACAACAATTAAGCAAGATTAAGAGAGGAATTAACAATTCAAAATAAATAAAAACTTAAATTAAAGAGTAAGAGATAGAGGAAAGAGATTACTTAAAATACTTCAAAGTTGAGAAATTGTTGAATTCAAGAGAACAATCTTCAATTAATCTACTACAATGATTGAGTTTGAGAAGATCTAAGCTAATTAATGAGGGTTGAGAAAAACTAAGGGCCTAAGAAAACTAAAAGGGAAAGAAGATCTCAAAATCTAAAGTCAAGCATCCTATTTATATGCCCAGAAACTACATCGTAAAATCCGTCAAAATCGGGCTTCAGAACAGGAGGAGCGCCCGCTCCATTAAGTAGGAGCGCCCGCTCCATTAAGTAGGAGCGCCCGCTCCAGTAAGTAGGAGCGCCCGCTCCTGGGCTCTCTGCATGCCCTCTCCTCTTGCAGCAGTTTGGGGCAGAATGTAGGAAAACAGGGAGGAGCGCCCGCTCCTTGAAGGCTGCACGCCCACTCCTATATGTTCAGGGCGAGGCAGAATGTGGCAGTTAAGGTAGGAGCGTCCGCTCCTTCTTAGGTGCACGCCCGCTCCTATTTTCCTTTGCTTCCAAACAGTATTTCTTCATGCTTATGCTATTTAGCCCATTTTTCATTGTACCTACAAGCACGAGCACACACATAAAAAGAAACGGGGAAGCCAAAAGATGCAAATTAGCACAAGAGGAGTTAGAAAAAGGGATTAAAGTGGGGAAAGAGTACAAAATCGTGTTTAAAATGCCATGATAAGTGGACAAATAAAACACTTATCATTAATTGATGCATTGATAATTGATTGTTATGTTTTATCCGGAGTATTATTTATTGGTGAACCTATGCCCTAGGCCTTTTATTCATTGATTTTCTCCTATTTTTATTTCTCCCTACTCATATTCTTCGTAGTATAGTCCTTTAATAACAACAAATTGTTACTTGATAATTTAGATTACTTTTAATTAATTAGGAATAAATTGACTTGTTTCCCTATGGTTCGACCCTTCTTCCCTATCTACATAGTTAGAGGATTTAGGATTTACTTTTGATTAGGTGACTACGACTTTATCCTGTCAGAGATCGCTATCTCCATACCTGTTTGTTTTATGCATGGAGGTTCTTTCGGCTATGTTGCGTAAGGCAGAATCAAAAGATCTTTTTCAAATTGCTAGGGGGGCTCCTACCATTTCACACTTGTTCTTTGCAGATGACTCTTTGCTATTTTTCCAGGTTTCTCCTCCAGCTTGTGAACAAGTGTTGAATGTGCTTTCTGCCTTTTGTGATATTTCAGGTCAAATGCTTAATTTGCAAAAGTCATTTGTCAAGTTTAGTCCTAATACTCCTGAGGATTACCGAGCTTATCTGTCTGGTTGTTTGAAAATGCGATCTGAATCTAGATTGGGTTCATATTTGGGGCTTCCCGTTGATTTAAGTCGTAGTAAATGCTCTGAGTTTGGTTTCCTCTTGGATAAGGTGGTCAAACGTCTATAGGCATTTACAGCTCTCCGGCTTTCCCCGGCGGCTAAGCTTGTTATTATTAACTCAATGCTCATTGCCTCCTTTAATCACATCCTGTCTGTTTTCAAAATTCCTGAATCTATATGTTCTAGAATGGATATTTTGTTAGCCAGGTTCTGGTGGAAATCTTCTTCTTCTAATCGAGGATTGGCTCTTCGGTCTTCGTCGTTGCTCCATCTTCCGAAGGGTTTAGGGGGATTAGGAATTCGTAGTATTTCCCCTTTTAACTCTTCCCTGTTGGCGAAGCAGAGTTGGTGGCTTATTCACTGCCCTCAGCTGTTGGTTTCTTGGCTTCCGTCTGCGAAGTATCCAGCTCTTTGTTCTACTAACTCCTTCTCGACTTCTCGTCCCTCCTGGGGTTGTAGGGGTCTTATTTCGGGGATGTCCTTGTTGTCGAAGGGTTTATGTTGGAAGGTTGGTTCAGGTTCTCGAGTTCGTATTTTAGAGGATTCTTGGGTTCCGGGGGGACCAAATCATTTTAAGAATCTTCCGTCCGAGTCGGTTCGACCGACTCTTGTTTCTTCTTTACTTGTCTCGCGTTCTTGCGCGTGGGATGCTACTATTATTCACGAGTTGTTTGATTTTAGTTATGCTGTTAGAATTCTTTCTTTGGATCGACCTGTGCGTTTAATGTATGATTTTGTAAACTGGAAATTTACTAGGGATGGAGTTTTTACAACGAAATCTACTTATGCTCTTCTTTGTGAGCCTAGGGTCATGTCTGGTAGTCCATCTCAAATCTCTCAAGCATGGTGGAGGAAGTTCTGGGTTTTACCAATTCTTCCTCGTTGGAAAATATTTGGTTGGAAATTGCTGCACGACGCTCTTCCTTTAGCGACTATTCTCAATTCTCGAGGCCTCCCTGTTGATCCAGTTTGTGCATTTTGTCATGCGGATGTGGAATCTGTGTCTCATACATTCAGAGATTGTCCTGCCGTCTGTAGTCTTTGGCTATCTAGGGCATTGGGAATCCAATGGGATCTTATGCAGTTTCCTTCGTTTAGTATTTGGTTCTCAGGTACAATTTCTCTGTTTTCGTCATCAAGAAATTGGAAGGGCATTGCTTCGTTTTTTCTCTCCTTTGGGCAATTTGGATTTCTCGTAATCACTTGAGGTTTAGGAATGCTGTTTGGTCGCCTGGGTCAATTGTTGGTTTGGCGTCAAATTGGGTTAATTGTAATATGCAGGCTCTAGATTGGAAGAGGTTTACGAGGTCTTCTTGTTCGGTTAGTTTGGAGGCTAGGCATGATGTCAAGTGGATGTGTCTGCAGGGGTTACCTTATATTTCTCCAACGGCATGTTTGATTGTAGACGGGGCCTGGGATTGCTCTACTTATAGGGCATGAGGAGGCTGGATAGTCCGTGATCTTCATTCTTCTGAGGTCCTGGGAGGTGGTTGTCGGGCTTTTATGGCAAGTTCAGCGTTGCAGTCTGAGATTCAAGCTTGTATATGGGGTTTGGAGTTTGCTATACGCAAAGGTTTTTTTTAAAAATCCGGGTTTATACAGATTGTGCTGCCATCCTTACTCTTCTTCCTCCTTCTGGCTCAATGGAAGTTTCTGCTTGGTGGCTTATCCAAGAGTTGCGGGCTTGTGTTCAGTCTCTTTTGGTCTGTCAGATTCAAAAGGTTCCTCGTATGCGAGTTACTCCTGCTCACTGGTTGGCTGGTTGTGCCCGGCGGCGTCAGTTGTTGTATTTTTTGTTTTAGTTTTTTTTGGGTTGACATTTGTTGTTTTTGGTTGTTTTTTTATTTGATAGCTCTTTTGTAAAAAATAAAAATAAAAAAATAAAAAAATTAAGTCATACATTCTTGCAACATTGAGAATTGATTGACAAGTAATAGATACACGTGACATGATGACAACCATTGTCATTCATTGAATTTTATAAGGAAAATTTGATAAATACAATACCCCCTTTGGTTTTTGTTATTATAATACGTAGTATATATCATTAGATTCATCATAATCTCTAGTTTCATGATATAATTTTATTACAAACTCTACTAGTTAACAATTAAAGATATTAATAGTCAAAATTACGTTTCGGCAAATGTGATCAAACTGATACAAATAAAAAAAAAAAACAGAGGGATTACAACTTTTGACCAGTTATTTTTTTATAATACAACATTTAGATTATACATAAATATTACAACCTTTATCAGTCTCAATTTTAAACGGGACAAAACCAGATATAACTTATGCACTAGGGCATTAGGGGGTCATTTATTTCTGTCATTCCATATCCCTAGCCTGATTCCATCCCTTTCCTTACACAAACCACACAGCAACATAATTGATTCATTAAGACAGCGCAGTAAACTTTCGACACATTTTGTGATTTCCCCATGCAATGATCACTATCAAAATTTGTTTTCTTTACAAGGAAAGATATGTGCCCAAATAGACACAGGTTTATATCTGTATTCTGTACAAATTAAATCAGCTAAATATCTAACTTTCTGCTGTTCACGGTAAAATCAGTTAGCACCTTCTACAATGGGTCAAATTAGCTCTTGCCTCTAACCTGTCATCATCATAAAATGACCCCAACTTAGGTCGGGAATTACAAGGAAACAGAGGGATACAATGTAGACTAAACATACCAGTGAGATATGCTGTTTTGACCCTCGCTACAGACTACTTGTATGAAGGGTGAGGCAGGCTATCAGCATCTTACTCTGTAAATGGTAGATTATCCTAACTGGGACGATGAGCCTTTATATTTGACATGCTGTCTCGATCCCCAAGCCAGACCACTGTCACTAATACTTCCTTCAGGAAGATCATCGTCAAAATCTTTGCTCCAAGAATTTAATGGGATCAGACTATCATCTTTAGACTTCCTCTTCAGCTCTAGTTTCTTAACATTTTCTGATATATCGTGAAAGGTTTTGTTTATTTTTGCAAACCCCCTTTCAACTGGCTCTACCACATGGGAAACAGTGAACCTCATGTCATCCGCAATCTACAGAGTATAAGAAAGAGGTGTTACGATCTGTGGTGGATCAGTCACATGTAAATATGATTGAAAGGAAAGAGTTTGTCATACTCACGATTTCTCCACTACCAACTACCACATCACGAACTGATTGCGGAAAATTTAAACGCTTCTCTCTCTCATCATGCCGAGCTAGGCGCATCTTGGTAAATTTGGTACCATCCCTGACCTCCTCTGGGTCTGGAGGGGTACCAAGCGCTGCATAATCATCCATCACTGCAACATTTCTTACACACCGTTCTCCTCGTTTGTAAGGTACTGCTGGAAAGACATAAAGATGAACCACAGCTGCAACGCCCATCTGCCAGAACAATAGAATAATAGAGCAACACCAAGATGCTAATTAATATTATGAGACATCAAAAAGTAATTCCTTCAGTATAATCTAGAGGATACATTGAACTATTTTAAGACGACCCTTCCATAGCTATAAATTAGTGAGCCTGAGAGGATGCGGTAATAAGATACACAGCAGAAATGTACGCACAGTAGAATATAATTGAAATGTCATAAAAAGCACTTTTACCAATTAAGACTTTCATAAAAAGATGAAAAATACAGATTTAGGGGTAGCATAAAATGATATAAATAGATATAAACTGATGATATGTTATAAATATACAACATAAAATGATGTTACTGGGAACCAGTAAATATCTACAGACAAGTTCAGTTGACTAAAACACAACCGCTGTTTCATCTAAGTTTACTTAGTACTTATCACTAAACTGAACAAGTTAATTTCCTAATCTCCTATTGATTAGTGGAACTTCTCATAGAAAGTCCTACTTTGAATTGAACAAAACAATAATTTACACTTCCAAGAATATAGAGTTTCACCGATATTGCAATTCTCTGGAAAGTATAACTTCCTATGTCGACCACTATATCTGGATATATATATAGCTTCTGAGGTGAACACCGAACAGTCATTTTTAATGTTATCAGGCTATGAGCTGACATCCATTGAAAATTGCTGTGTATTTCACATTTATTTTCATTTGCTTAAAAACATGCTTTGGAAGCAGTTGAAGTGCCATTTACCAAAAACATTTGTCAGTGCCCTTGGTGCCCTCATTTCAAAAGAATGGTCAAAGGGCACTTCTAGAGCAAAGCTGAGCACTCAGGGAATGAGGGCTTGTTTGAGCAGATTAAAAAGCTAAAAGGTAACATCCAATTAAAAAAGATGGATAAAGCCATTTGTCAAACAAGCCCTATGTATCGCTAATCCACCAGCCAAACAAAAGGATTTGGCATTGTTTTTTGTTTTTAGTTTTTTTTGAAAACCAAAAACAGGAAACAAGAAAAAAATATTTTCACTTTTCTGTTGTCAATTTTCAAAATTATCATGATTTTAATAAGTTTGACTAATTTTTAATTCATTATATGACATATATCATATGATTTTAAAAACAAAAAATCAAAAAACAGAAAACCACAGTGATGCCAAACGAACCCTAAATTAATCAGTTTTAGTTTCCAGATTTTTTTTGAAAACTTAAAACAAAAATTCGGAAACCAGAAGTTTCCACTATTTTGTTGTCAATTTTTATAATTAACATGACTCAGTATAAATATGGTTATTTGTAAATTTCAAAATACAACTAAGATTATATGACTTTTAAATCTAAAAAACAAAAATTGAAAACTGGCAACGATACCGAATGGGCCCTTAAAAAACAAGCATGTCATAGGAGCATGGAGCACACATCACCACATAATGACATTTAAATCTTCTCAATCACTAACATGTCTAACAAACTCAATTGACATTACACACAGGCGCAAGAACAAAAGCCAGATTCATCTAAGCAGATTATAATGAACTTGATTGAAAAAGAAATAGAAATAAAGGTATACATTGACTAACCTCAATACATATTATGTAGTCCTGAATACGTGTCTTCAATTCCTGAGCTAAGGAACCCCGGAAGGCTCCTATAGAGAAAAGAAAAGCTACAGCTATTCCTTGCCACCATGTCAAGAATACTATTGACTTGAAAGTAAGAAATTTCGCCAAAGGTTTGATAGGTTCAAGTCTATCTTTTGTGACTGAGTAAAATTGAACAAGACAATATAAAGCCCATGTCTGACTGAAGTTAAGAACAGCAGCCAAATAGGGATAGCTGCAAATGAGAATTCCAATCAAAATCAAGCACACATGACAAACAATACAATTCAACTCACAAGAAGCAGAGTACATATTTATTGAACCACACATTCTGCTATTATGTACAAGAAGCAGACTATAGTCTATACACGTCTTATTATCAATTTGTAAAGATAACAAAATACATTACAACAATCACCAAGTTTTGTATTTACAAAAAGAAACAAAAATCAAATAAAATAAAATAGACAGACAGAGAGAGACAGAGAGAGAGAGAGAGGACAGGGCTGTATAGTGTATACAAGGAACTAAAATTGGAAATATCAAGATAAAAATCAAACATTAATCAACACGTGATTTTGTCATACAATCCTTCATTAATACCAACTTAGGAGATGTAATTAATGTTTATATCATGACCATGAGAAAAATTATCTGAATTTTCTTATTTAAAAACAGCAAAACCTTACCCGTAATTCCACTGAAACTTTCCTTCCCCATACACGCCACAAGCTTCCAAAAGTATCGCTAAAAGTGCACATATCAACTTCAGTATCATCTGACCAGTGAAAATGATGATATAAATTAAAGATTCAACTTGAGATAAAACATCATAAATGATCAAAGCCTGATACGCTAAAAACAACATAAGCTTACTTGTCATATTACTATTGGCACTAGAAACAATCACCACAAAATATCATATCAATATTTACTATGTAGTATCAATAGCTTGAGCTCTCTTTATACATAAAATTTTCAGAATACAATAAAAAATGGGATTGATGTTATTTCATATGAATCAAAGATCAACTTCATACTAAGTCAAGGGCAATGCTTAGCATTTTCTCCTCAATCATGTACTTACATATTGAACTATGCCAATTTTCACAGCTTGATAGAAATCTTTCCCAAGATACCATTCCCTGATAAAGTAATTGAGAGGAAATGGATGCTCTACAACACCATAAGTATATGCTTCTTCCAATAGGGGTGAACCAGAATTTATAATACTTTGACTTTCCATGAATTCAATTGTCTTCTCTTCTCCGCCTGCAACACATAGACTATATTATGTCATACTCTGACTTATACAGATCACAAATTGGTATTTCATATGAGTACTACTATCATTAAAAGATACAATAGATCCATGAATGGAGCAAAAAAGTTAACCCACTATCATTAACCTAGTCAAGTAGTCATCCACAATTTCAAATTGCAAATGGAGGGAGCTCCAAAATTGATAGAAATATGACCCATTTATAAGTTGTCTGGCCAACAGACAGTGATAATGCAGAATTGCACAAAGTTCTCAATTTTTAAAAAGTGTCTTAAAAGATGCAAACTTGGTCAAAAATTGCTCAGACTTTCCTGATATATGTGTATATAATTGAGCACAAAATTGAATCTTCAAAATTGTTTTCTGGATATGCGGCTTATGCCTGGCCAAAAAGAGCTAAGGGGAGAATTATCTAAATTCTACATGATTTACTAATTATAGTAGTTTTCTTCTATATGTAATTTCTTTGCAATTGAATTTGCACATTTAAACATTTACCCACATAGCTGACATATTGTTCACACATATCTAAACTAGTTAAGAGGCTTAAGGCTCTTCAACAAATTCGAGTTCTTCCAATTACAAGAAATGAACAAATAAGAAAACCACAAGTATTTATGCGTGTGCAGCTTTTGCAACAGGGTGCATTTTTGCAAACTGGAGGTTTGATCTTGCAATTATTCTCATTAAATGTTTAGGCACAAGAAACAAAATAGAAATAGGTTTGAGAGGATTATAACAGGCTATTGTGAGTAAATAATCAGCGCCAAACATTTCATTTTTTGTGCAAGTGGTGCAGGGGAAGGGAGGGAGGGGTCAGGATATTTAATTAATGGATCAAAATTGACAACCATAATAAAGAAACTTTAGATGGTAAGGTTTTTTTTTTTTTTTTTTTTTTTTTTTTTTTTGGGACAGGATAGATGGTAAGTTCAATGCAGAACATTTCAAGCAATAGAAAAGTATAGCATTAACAAGCATAAATTCAAAGATATATGTAACAAGTACAAGATTACAGACAATTATCATGTGCAAATACCTAAGCAGGCAATCAGATATCTCTCAAAGCAGTACAATGCAAAAGCTTCATAGCAATCGCGTATTACTTCACAGTTAAATGCAGCTTTTGAATCCAACAGCGACAAGAACTGTATTAAGAAACATAAGACAACAACCCAACAATCAGCAGATGGAATTTCATAAAGACTCAACAGAACAATGCAAAAATGAAAAAAAAAAAAAAAAAAAAAAAAAATACTTAAAACTACCAAAGAAGAGTATATCATTTTTAAATATAGAGAAGTACTTCAAGTAGCAAATGAATGTTTGCTATGTATTAAAAAAATAATAATAATAAAAAAAAAAATACCTAACAAATCCTAAAGAGTTCAAACAAACAGATAAGGAAAAATATAGTTATATGTTTATAGTTAAAACTTGGCAGAAACATCAGAAATCTAATAGATCCCAATAATCAATCTTATCCATGGTTGAGCATCATTTTGTATCCCCAAGTATGAGATGAAATGAGCGAACCTTCTCACACTCTAGATTATTCTTCATCTAAAAACACACCTAGGCTAGAACATACTCAGAAGTTGGCACTCTTATAATCATAATTATAATTCATGTAATGACATAAGTATCAGTAAGGTCTCTACATAACTTCAATTGTTTAACACAATATAAGAAAAAAAAAATTTAGCAAAACTGGAAGGATTCATATATCATCCCACTTAATAAACCAAAATCCTTCCAACATTGGATAGATTTGGATTTTTGGAAGGAAAATGCAAGCTCAGTTCTTCCCTCCCCTCACCTCCCTTTATTTTCTGTCTCCTTTGCTCCCCGCCCTTTTCTTTCACAAACTATCTCCTTTCCTTCCTCAATAACTATCCAAATATAGAAACCTTTTTCATTATAAGTTTTGAAAATTGGATAGCAAGGTAAGTAAAAAAGGAAGGGGAGGAAAGAGGAAGGGGAACCGAAAGAAAGGGAAGGAGTCCAATTTCCTTCCAAATCACTCCAATTTTGGAGGGATGGTGTTTATTAAAAAGGGAGGGAAAATTGATCCTTCTCTCTCCCTCCCCTTTCTTCCCCAAACCTTATCCAAACAAGGGAGCTTGTTCCCCTTCCTTTACTTTCCCTCCCCTTCTCTCAATTTCTCTTATTAGAAATATGCATAATCCATTCAATCTTTGACCACTAGGCAGTACAAGCTAGAAGTCAACACATAAATCTTAAAGAAGTTGAACATAAATATGTCACAGCAGTAAATGATAACTAAAAAAATGGAGTCAAAACCAGAGCAAAATTATCTTACCGATTCTAAAGCATACACAGGAACCATCAGTATGAGCCCTATTAAGAATTTCTGCTCCTGAAATTCAATCCAATGAGACAAGGAGAAAAGGTCAGTTCCAAAAGCTAGAAAAATGAAAATATTAAACACGCATTTCAGTTTTATACAATTTTCTATCTCACATAAGTATAACACAACTAAATACTTGTTGGAGTTATGAGGGGCACTCTGAAGCATAATTAGTTATAAGCAGAGTAAATGTAGGGAAAATGAGAGTTCCACTAGAACTGCACAAGGAGTAGTATTACTTAAATAAACAAATAAAAATAAGGAGACAGCCTTATAGCTGATACAGAGCTCCAAAAAGCAAAAACACAGAGCAGTATCTGGTAATAACTTAATATAATTTCTTAGGTTGCACAAGCAAACTATGCATATAGTACAGTTTTTCAGGATTTTGAAATTAAGTTGCAAGTATTTCTCATGATACTGCAGTCAGGTAGTTTTTTCAAAGGAATTTTATTTAATAAATTTCTTAGTTTGCAAAGGCAAAAAAATACTAGTAATCATAATCGGACAAGAACAAACCTCTGGATGATTGTAAGCAGCTAGGTGCTCAAATATGAGATACATAGACAGAACCAGAGCTGTAAGCACAAATATGCTTGAGCTAGTGATACTCCAGCTGTAGAGAGAAGATGTGCCAGTGGCAATTTCGAGAAACCATGCTTTACCAGAACTGCCGACAGACTCCCTTGCATTTAAAAGAAAGAAGAAAACGTATACAACCCACATCCATCCCATAGCAAGGATACTAGGATGAGTACCACTTCTGCTTTAGGTGAAGTTAATTTCAAGCTTCATATGATCAACTGCACTTCTTGCTATCGGCCATGAATGTATATATGTCTATAAAACTCCGGCAACCACAATTTTCAACTTAATAATATGCCTTCTGGAATGGAGAATATGGCAGCTGAGGAGAAAGGAGAAAACTTCTAGCTTAGGCCAACTGACCCAAGAAAAGTGTTCAATAGTTGCTAAATAGAAGGGAAACAATACACAAAGGCCTGCATAAAACCTGCCATCAAAATGCAAAAAATAAGACCACCAGTTGTACAAAAGCTACATATCTACTGCATGGAGCATAAATGACAAGAAGCTATTAAATTTGTAGCAATCACTACCACGTTGCAATAAGAAAATAAGATACAGGAATCAATTTACAAAATCCGGCATAATAAATTAATAATGTAAGCCAGCACATAGTCATGGAAAATTGAAAGCCAACCTTAAAGTCATTATCTAGCTGAATGTAAATACAAAACGGGATAATGAGTTATGAAACATAAACCCCAAATAGTGAAATCAACGAATAAAAGCTCGTACACCCAAGGGCAAGGGCAACCCAAGCACAAGTAGGTATCAATCACGCATAAACCTGATATCAACAACCCATTCACACAAAAACGATCGATGCAAGAAATTCTTAAACACGCCCATAATGCATAAACCTTACAAAATCTAAAAGCAGCCTCAACAACACTTAAAATCCATCAAGAGCCACACATCACTTCAGAAACCTAGTGTCATTCCAAAGCTTTTCCCAACCCAATATCATATTCTCCAATTTCACTTCAATTTTTCTATACACTACTCTTCAAGTCCGGATTCGAAAACAACCAATGCCACACCGCCAATAATTTCGTCTATTTATCCTAATTATCCTATACAATGGGTGAAAGTGCTGCGATTGATTCGTTCTATTCTATCAATTGGACTATCAATGACCAAATTTGTTTCCCAAATAGAAATATTAACTTCAAAGCAGAATACCCACTTTACTTAATTGATTGCTATAAACTTCAATGAGCCAAAAACAGCAATAAAAACCTAACATTGACTATTTGGATTACAGCCATTTCTTCTTCCTACACCTTAAACTACCAACAAAGACAAACACCCAGAACCCACAATGCCAAATTCAACCAAAATAAGAAACACCCACCTCACTTTAAACACCCATTAAAGAAAAAAAAAATCAAAAACACAAAAACAACAAATTATTCATTCCATAAACACAACAGAAATAAACAAACAACTTCTATATTAATAATAAAAAAATATATAAATAAATAAATATACCCCTTAAATATAGGATAAGAAAAACAAACAATGAATGTTTCTAATTCATGATCAAAGAAAAAAAGTGTTGTTACAAAAATTTAGGAAATAAGAAAAAGATAAAAAATTAGACCTGGAAATCGGAGCTTCTAGGGAAAGAAATGGTAAGTGGAGAAAGGTTCGATCCAAAATGGGGAAAAGAGAAAAGAAAAGGAGTTTTTGTGGGGAAAAAGACTCAAAAAGAGAAAGATTTGGAATGGTAGGAGAGAGAAACGTGTAGAATTTATGTGTTTGCTTCAGCAGTTGGGCATCACTATTTTGGGATTTTTGCTACTTTTTGTATGTATCTTTGAGTTATGGAGTACTAGTATCAATATATTTTAGTCCTTGTTAACTGTTTACAAGTCTAGAAAAGGGCCAAAGGGGTATTGCAACATTTTTCTATGTCAAATTGTCAAATATAGGATATTTCCATTTTTGTATACTTTTTTTTGTAGATGGAGTTATAAACTTATAATAGATTATTACTGATTTTGTAGTATGGATTCTAGATTTATGATGCAAATCGTAAATTCTTAATCTACCTCCTCTATGTGACCAAAATTTTGGGAAGGGTCGGGCTGCGTTTAAGTCTAAAAGTTCATGCCTAACTGCCTAAGCATGAAATAGTGTCGTGTTAGTTGGATTAAGGCGGACTTTTCAAGTTAGTCTCGGGTTTTGAACTAATCTAGCAATAGCAATTGAAAAGTTTCAAAAAATGGAAATACATTCCATAAGTTCCAGCTAGCAATCGTCCCATTTGAGGCATCATCGCTAGTTGCTGGTGTCCAAGATGTCATTTTCATGGGTTATCTTCGTAGTTCGCCCAGTAGGGGGGGAGGAGTGTTAGGCTTCTTTTCATCCCCTTAGCTTTCATATCAAGCACAAACTTTGCCAATTAATGAGCAAAGAAATTGGCCTCCTTCGAAACATATGTGAGCTAGCTCATTTATGCCATATTTTCCAACATCTTCACTTGTGCTCTTCAAAGACATAACATTAATCTACACTAGAGGGTTTTAAAAATAATTTTAAATATTTTTTTTTACCAGCATCAATCACGAAGATATTGCATCCTTGCTATTGCTCCTATTGAGACGGGGCAAGAAGATGAACTCACTTGGGCTTTCTCTAAAAACGGGGGAATACTCAATGGAATCCTTGTGTATTTCGGGGAAAGTATTAGGGTATATGGATGGATACATATATTTATCCACCAAGACTCCCTAATCAAGATGAGTTGCATTCATCCCAATACTCTTACATGGTATCACAATTAGTGCAACATTCAAGAAATTGCTCGCCATGTGAAAGTCTCTACGAGACTTGAACATATATACAACATCTAATTCTAGAATTGAGTGTCTTACCACCAAGCCATATGATATTTCGTGTTATCTTTTAAATACAAAATATTAATTAATATGTATCAAATGACAATATGAATAACAAATTTAATTCCGAGAAAATTGAATCATAAATTAAAACGTTATCTTAATGACTCGAGGCATCACCCGGGTCCAAATATTAATTGATACTATACAAAGAGGTTTATTTTAATTTCAAGCTATTATAAAGCTCTGCCTGCCTCATTAAGAATCCATAATTAAGAGCTCGTATAAAGACCCGACCCATTTATTTATTAGACGGATTTGACCCAATTAATGGGCCCCAACCCATTGAATTGATTTGTCTCTCTCTCTTAGTCTCCGTGAGTTCTCCTTCTCCATTGAACATTGCACTTGACGTTCTGCATTATTACAAACTTCTACTCCGTAGTATTTGTTCTACGCAGCTTTAGAGGTAAGTGTAAACACAAATTTTAAATCTGCAAGATATAGATTCAAAACAAATGCAACAAGGTGTTATTTTTATTAATTTGATAATTTTGGGTACAATCTTTAATTTGCTCCTCTGATTCAATTCACCACTTTGACTTTGACATGATTCACGAATTGATTTGATTCTCGAATGAGGGCCGTCGAGGCTTGATCTCGATCGAAGATTTGATGCAGGACTTTGACTTATTGTTGATGTAGACCTTTGAGTTGAATTCTTGATTGAGGGCCGACGAGGCTTGATCTCGATCAATGACTATTTGATGTAGTGGTTGAACTGGTGTTTTTGATGATTTGAAGTCCTTCTTTCCTTTGTGCCGAGGGCCGTCGAGGCTTGATCTCTTCCACGAGTGATCTTCAAGAGTAGAACGACACGCCAAATGCTTGTTCTTCTTCTTCTAGGTTTAGAGTATTTGAAAGGTTTTCTCTGGATTTTGATTCTCTTTGTTTTCTCTCTAGGTTTTTCTCTTAGCTCTCTAGGTTTTCCTCCCCTTTTTCCCCCTCTTAAATGAAATAGAGAGAGCTCTATTTATAGAGTTAGTGACTCTTATGGTTAGGGTTTGATGTACAATGGAGATGGGCCTGCTTGATTATTATAACCCATTTTTAATGGGTTTTAACTATTAAATAAACAATTTAATTTAATTAAAATAACTAAAATGGGATAATTTAATTTATTCACCCAATTTAATTAATTTTAACTAATAGTCAAATTAGCATCAAGTCAATAATTTGACTTTTGACCCATACAAAATCCAATGTGGCACTTATATAAATTTTTCGTGCCTACAGTAAGTTCTCCTCACTTTTCTCTCATCGTTTTTCTGCTATCTTTCATGGTGTAAATCATCAAATCAATCCTATTTTCGTATTTGCAGAATCAATTTGCACCTCTCTTTCAATTCTCCTTTAGATATCTAATGGATGGTATTTCACTTCACTCTCTTATTTTCATCATTTTCTTAGATTTTTGAATGCCCTTTTCATTCTTAACTTACTAATTATACATAATTTGTTAATTTAAGGCTCTATTTGGTTCAATATTAGTAAAGGAAAAGAAGAAAAAGGATGGGAAGGGAAAAGAAAGGAAACGAAGGGAAAGGAAGGTGATTTTATTTTCCAATATTTGGTTGATGAAAGGAAATAAAGGGAAGAGAAAGGAAATTACTTTGATTTTTCTCTTTCCAGTCAAATTCCTCCAATTTTGGGAGGAAAGGAAAGCCAAAATTTTGTTAAGAGACTTTCTTCCCACTTCCGTTCCTTTCCTTTAGATTTTTATGTCATTTAATCAACCTAACATGGGAATATGATTAAAACAATTTTCTTTCTTTTCGTGTCCATCCATATCCCTTCAACCAAAAAGGGCCTAAATGGGTTCTGGGTTGTGTTTGCCTAATTTCTTACATTAGATAGAAAATCATTTTAAACTACCTGTAGACACCTAAAAATGTCTCCCCAAAACCAAACCTGATGATGAACAACCTTTCACCGCCATTCTTGGTCGGGTTGAGTATTTAATTTTTGGAGTGCTTAAATCCATATTTCCATTTCATAAACCAACCCAATTCTTAGCCCATTTCCCCAAACCATAACTTATTTTCCTCTTTTCGTGCCTTTAAACCCAAAATAATTCATTTTGTGTCCTTTAAAATCATTCATTTCGTGTCCTTTTTATAAAAACATTTAATCCAGTTTATTTTGGTCCATAATCTGGGTCCAATGATTGATTCGTTGGATGGGTCTTTAAAAGATCTTTCCAACGATATATTATAAGCCCAAATCCGAGTTATAACGAATAAGTTATGACCAAAATATTAAACCGAGCCCAAACCGAACCTAAGCTCACCTTACCTACGACCCAATGATCATGTGGAGGGTCCAAGTTATTTAATCCCATTCCTAAACAAATTAGGATTAATTAGAAGCTTCTATAAGTTTCTAAAATATCTTAATTATCCTTTTTGAAAAGATAAGATTAAAGAGTTTGAAATTGAGTAAAACTCCTTTTTTTTTTAAAATCCTATTTATATCCGAATTGAAAGACGTTCAAAGATAGACAGATATTATTTTCTTGCCTCATAGTTTTTATCCAAATTTTATATGTTTGGATAGCTCTTGAAATTATCTTTCCAATGATATATTATAATATCAATTCCGAGCTATAACGGAAAAGATATGAATAAAATGTCAAACTCTATCCAAAACTGACACCGTCCCACTATTTTAGCCATATCTTTACTTCTACAAAATATTTTAATCTTATTCCAATGGGTTAAAAAGTAGATTTCAAGATCTTTCCAACTATATCTTATTTATCTTATTCCGATTTCTGGATCAAAAGATATGACAAAAACAAAAACCGCAAAAACTGCTATCTATCGTAAGAGTTTTAATCCGATTCGAACTCGATCTTTTCTTGATTCTTCGACCTTCTTTTTTCCCTATAAATAGAGGTCATATCACCCCTTTTTCAATCATCAATAAGCTTGATCATCAAATAATTCTCTTCTCCCTCTTTAGCCTAAACACTAGCCTCCCTATTCCATAATTACTTCCCCTAATTAAGCACTCCAAGGAGTTCATACAATACCCAAAGTTCTATACTTAAACCAAGGCGTGAAAGGTATAATTAACTGAGGGTTTGGACCAAATCATCTCTACTTTTATTTAATTTAATTGTTTTAATTTGATTTATATTTTTATTGAACTTACTAACAATTTATTCATGATGTAGCAATTTAAAGGAACGTGCGGAATGTGAGTAATTAATTAATTTAATTACTCTTATTTTATTTTTATATTGCTAGTATCATGATTAGGGTTATTATTATTATTTGATTTGACTAACTTTATTATGGTTAGATTACTTCCAATATTAATGTTTATTTTATTATATTTATTGATCACCATATTGCATGTTTAAAGGGAATATGTAATTGAAAATCACGCCTAATAAGATAATTTGGACAACCGGTTTAGGTTCCTTTTTAATCTTGTTATTAAATCAAGTGATCACAATATTTTAGAATTATATGTTGTATTAATATTAAACCAATTTAGCTTAATAATAGTTTGGAGCAAATTGAATATTTTGTTTGTATGCCTTTGAGATCGCAGGAATCACTTTTCACTATAAGAATCGAGTAGAGGCCAATACGGGCGAATGTGACTCTAAGACACACTTCGTACCATCATTTGCCGATCCTCCTTTCGTGATTTCGAACCATACGGAGTTAGTAATCTCATGGATTATGAATGGGGTGTAACCTTCACGGGTCAATCGTTGTTGCCTTCGTTGTCCCTTAATCGTGGTTGCCTTAAATGATCCGTGAACGGTTTACAAGTTCCTTAAAAAACTTGTTGGAGGCTCCCTACTTTCCTTGTCCCTAATCGTATTATGTCAATTCCCACTTCCTAAGAGTGCCAAGCATATTCACAACATGCTTTTAGCGTAGGCGCACTTCGTGCGACG